TTAAGGATATGTATGTAAGAGCTGTTAATTGTATTCAAACACAAGGTGGTTTGATCAAGTATTTTCCTATTTCAGTTGGATTACATCAAGGATCAGCCTTAAGCCCATTTCATTTTGCTTTAGTTATGGATGTTCTCACTAGACATTTGCAAGAGGTTGTACCCTGTTGTATGCTTTTTACAGATGATATTCTTCTTATTGATAAGACTAGAGAGGGAGTTGAAGGTAAACTTGAATTGTGGGTGTCAACCTTAGAATCTAAAAATTTTCATTTGAGTAGATCTAAAACCGTATATATGGAGTGTAATTTTAATTGTAATAGATTTAGTGTGTGTGTGTGTGGGGAGGGGGGGTTGTAACTCTGGGCGATCAAGTCATTAAGTCTATTGTTTAGAATGATGGTAAAATAGATGATAATATTATTTGTAGAATTCAAGTTGGATGGTTGAAGTGGAGGAATGCATTGAGTTTGTTGCGTGATAGAAAAGTTCCTCTTAAACTTAAGGGAAAATTCTATAAGATGGTGGTGAGACTGGTAATGCTTTATGGCGTTGAATGCTAGCCATTAATAGAGTAGGATAATATTAAGTTAAGTGTTTTAGAGATGAGGATGCTCATGTGGATGCATGGCTTTACTCTTAGAGACGATATAAAACGATCATATACGTGAAAAGGTTGGAGTAGATCCTGTGGAAGATAAGATTAGAGAGAGTCTCCTTAGATGGTTTGGTCACATAAAACACCAGCCTTCTGATGACCCGTTTAGGAGAGTAGATGTATTAGATTTGGCTTCTGTTAAGAAAGGTAGATGTTGACCTAAAGGATTTGGTTAAAAAATATTAGAAATGACCTTCTTTATTTGATTTAAATGAGAATTCGACACTTAACCAAGATTGTGAAAATCGAACCGGACAATGAACTGGAAGGAGAGGTTCATGCGAACCATTCGAGCTAGATGACGTAATGAATAAAATTTAGATGACATAATAATCATATAATACACAATAATATCTTATGTAATTTTAAATTTAAATATATTCTATCTTTAAATTTAATTCAAATTTAACAAAAAATTTAACTTACATATAAATTTGTAAGTTTAATTTCGGATGACGTAATGAATAAAGTTTAGATGACATAATAATCATATAATAATATAATTTTTTATCAAAAAGAATAAAATTCACACAATACTATCTCTTTTACTTTATATTGCTTTTTGAGTTATGATAGAGTAATATCTCATATAAAGTGATAAAGCCTTGTGAAATGCTTAGTTTGAATTTTTAATTTAAAATTAAGTATTTTAAATTTAGAATTAAATAACAAATATTTTATTCATAATATTTTAAAATAATTTATTTAATTATTCAAATAATTCAAAATTTGAAACGGCCAGTTTAAGAGAACTGTGATCAGTTCAGCGGTTTGCCAGTTGAACCGGTAATTCTTGCCAGTTTGATGCAGAAATGATTTTTAGGATGAATTAGACTGGCCTTAAGACCGGTTCACATGTGAACCGGTCAGACTAGCCGATCCGGTTCAGTTTTTAAAAACCTACTCTTAATATAACACAATGATAAAAAAGTATTACTTTAACCGACCCCACGTAGTGGGATAAAGGTTTAATGTTGTTGTTGATGAATTCATTATGAACAATCAGTAAGATATAATAATACATGTAAAACCTTAATTTAGGTGTACGCCTCATGCTAGTGAGGTGAGCTGCTCCTCAAGGCGGGCATGAGCTAAGATGAGGCGAAAGCTTCATTAAAAAAAGCTCGAGGCTTATACCTCGAGGCATTTTTCTCTTGAATTGCACTGAGGCGGGCCTCAAGGCGAGCCTCATTTTGCGCAATTTTAAACAATGAAGTGACTAAATATATGAATCCCTAACTATGATGCATCCATTATCTAACTGCCTCATTGTAATTATGGTGAAAAGCACATCGAGGCTTACATCTCAAGCTTTCGTTATGAGGCATGAGCCTAAGTTAGGCTGAAGCGTGCTTCACCTTGTTTGCATGAGACGTGAGTACGCCTCACTCTATTTATATATATTTTTAATTAAAACTTACCTAAATTTTAAATTAAAGCCTCAAACAAATCACCCATTTATGCACCCTAAAGCCGCAATAGACCTCTAGCCTGCTTCCTCCGCTGCAGCCACAACTGTCATAGCCAACGCTGAAGATCACTTGGAAACTAGACACCACCATCACCACCTCTAAAAATTTTGGACTAATGCACTCATCTTTATGTTGATGGAAACCATTTATGAAAGAAGAAACACTACAGGAAAAATGCCCATTACACCGCCGGTTAATTACCGGCGATTACCGACGGCCACCGGCGGTGTTACGGTGGACATCCGGCGGTTTACATCGTCGGTAATACCGACGGCTCCAACCGCCGGCTATCGATGGTAAAAGAACCGGCGGTCTACCGGCGCTTGCCGGCAGTTTAAGAAACAAACGACGCCCACCTAAACCGCCGGACGACCGTCGGTAATATGACCGCCGGTCAGCCGTCGGTCAAATAATCGGCGGCGTAACGGCCGGAAAACCGCCGGTTCCAAATCCGGTTGTCACCGGCGGTATACGCCGACGGAAAATCGCCGCCAACATAAACCACTGGTAAAAAATCGCCGGTACATGTTTCCTACGCGATTTTTTCCAGCGGCTGGAAAACCGCCGTAAAGCCGCCGGTAGTCTATAAAACCGCCGGTTAATCTACCGTAACCGCTGGATTTCGGCGTTTTTCCTGTAGTGAAAATGATTGAAATAAATGAATGTAGGTTTATCGTGAAAATAAGGTAGTTTGTGATGAGTTGAAGATGAACCTAGTTGAAAATATATGAAAAAATGAGAATTTGAAGCAAGATGGAGATTCTTCTTTGTCTTAATAGCTTTTACAAAAGAACGAGTAAATGTAGAATGATAATCCCCATTAAACAAATTCCTAATAGGAGTGACCAAAGAGGATGCATCAAAATGTAGGATCATGAGAGGAGCAAATGACAAATGAGGGATAAAATCCCGACCAACAACATGATTTTAAGTCAGTCAAAGTGGAAAAGCACAACATCAGATATGATGCGAGGTGCAAAAGTTAATGAACTACAAAGGAAAATACCTTATTGAAATAATGAGGTTGTTGCACTATCGATATGATTTGGAATGCCAACAGAGTAGGCCATGAGCGCTAAGGCGAAAGACATTGATGCTAGGAAGTGATAGCCTAAGGAAAAGGAATGCAAACAAGGATGAGAAACTAGCACGATTGAAAGCCACAAATGAGGAGCAAGTGCTAGTGAGTGAGGGCCATGGAGTGCGTGAAACCCAGGCATGACGACTTGATACGAGAAGATTTCTTAGTTAACATGTAATTTATGTAAAATAGGTTTAACATACCATAAGAATGACCATAGAATGATTTTTAAATCGATCCGAATAGTTAGGCTAAAGCTAATGATGGTGATGGTTTTACTATTTAATATAATATAGATAAAAATTATTTTAGAAGAACCATACCATTTAACTACATTAAAACATAGTTTAGCGATACTAGATGCATTAAAAAATTATGATATAATATGAAATAATGCAGTTTTTGAAAATTATTTATTACTACAAAATAAAATAATATTTTTTTTCATTATTTGCAGAAAACTCCTCTGGTTTATATGGAATTTCTAAAGGTGTATATAGACTTGCCTTATGTTTATTTCTTTTAGTAGATTGACAAGTAATGCATTGTAAAACAATATGACAACATTCTTTTTTATATTTGGCCAAAAATATTTATGCTTATGCATAGTAAGTAGTAATCTTTTCCCTACCAACATGTCCAACACCATCCCTAGCATGTAGTTCTAAAATTAGAACTTTTTGCAACAATGTTAAGGGAACATTTTTCTGAAGGAAATATGAATTTTAAGGTAGGATCATTTAAAAATTTTCAACGAATTGGGACCAATGCTTAAAAATTGAAAATTATAAAAACATTTTTATTAATCCAACTTTCAATATGTTTGATTTAATCTTATTTCATGAGATTGTTGTTAATTTCATTGATTAATCTCTTTTTTACCTCCTTGTGAATCCATATCTAATCCTCAATCAAACAATTCTTTATAGCTTGTTCTTATGGTTATTTTGTATGATGAGATTGTGTCAAGCAATGATTGTGCATTCCAAAGATATCTTTTTCATTGGCGAAACTTATCTATTTACTACAATAACTAATATGTTTCTTTGTACACAAAATTTATGTTCCAATCTACTCGATTAGTATCCAATGCTAAATATGGAGCCTAATTTATCCTATCTTGGGCATATTGGATGGAATCTACATGTTTATTCTCATCAAAAGTGTCCCATCAACCAATGCTGAATGATTTTATTTATTTTCATTAGTTGGCGTATTTTATTTTATCTTGTAATTTCTAGTTTGAAACATGACTATGCAAATGGCCTAAAGAGAAGGTGCATTTACTATTTCCTTAGTTTAGGTTGGTTTATATGATTTTGGTATGATATTAGGTTGGTTTGATTCTTGGGTACCTTCAAATTTAGCCCTCATGTGAATTCTATTAGTTTGTTAAGGTGATATCGAAGGCTTAATTCATCAAGTTGAGTTATTCCATGTTGGGCAAGTTAAAATGAGAATCTAACGGCTCTCTCTCTCTCTCTCTCTCTCTCTCTCTCTCTCTTTCACTCAATAGCGAATATGCCTTAACCCAATTCTTCCAGTATTTTTAAGTTCTTTAAAGCAAGAGTTTTTTTTTTTTTTTAATTTATGCTGCTTCTTTGAGGAAGACCTTTTGGAAAAAGAAGAGATTTGAGCCTCTGATAATTTTGCATTTTAGGCTGGCACCCCATCAAAGCAATTTATTTTTTAGCCTTTCAATGCAAATAACATTGCAATTTATGCATTCACCTTCTTCTATTTACATTCGAAGAATGTAATAATGGTATATTATACTCTATTTCTTTCAGATTCGAGGCGACCCGGCAAATTCGATTGATGGAAAATGAAGCCAATGAGCTAGCCAAATTGCGACGAGTACAGTCCAATGACTCTGATATAGTGCCTTCTCAGTGGCACCTGCCAATTCTAGCCATGACGGCTGATGTCATTCAGGCAACTTATGAAGAGTGTATGAAATGTGGAATGGATGGTTATGTTTCCAAACCCTTTGATGAAGAGCAATTATATCAAGCTGTAGCCAAGTTTGTGGCCTCAAAACCTTTGCAAGGCTCTTGATTAACGGCTATATTTGAATAGCACTTCCAGCTTCAAGTTGCTCAGCCACTTCCATCCCAGATATCAAAATATGTCAATCTGGAGAAGAAGAAAAGAATCCTTATTTTCCTGCACGGCAAATTGGTCAAGAGTTTTCTCCAGTTTCTACAAGGAGAGCAGGAAGATTGGCTGGAACCAGTGTAAATTTAACGCTAGTTTGAGCAGGTGGTGCACTGTACATGTTGTGTTAGTTTATTCTTATTCTTCTTCTTCTTCCTGTTGTGCTGGTCTGGTGTATATTGTAAATTTTACTCTATTGGTAAACGTTATCCATTCTTGGGAAAGTAGATTAGTAAAATGTTGCAGGTTTTTGTGGAGCCATCAACTAGTTCTCTTAATATGAGTTTTCTTGTTTAATTACCTCCAGATTTCTTCTTCCAGTCCTTGTAAATCCTTACAATATGTTCATTTCTTAGGGTAATATACATTATAATTTGCAGAGATTACTGAGGATAGTATATTGTTGTTCTATATGTTGGAGATGATTATATTATATAGATTTTTTTTTTCTCGCTGTTAAATTTTTTTTTTCAAAAATTATAAGAAAGTCATTTCAAACGAAGCTCTATAGTTATTCGGATAGTTTTTGTATTGCTTTTAAAATGATTTTTTAGTATAATTAAAATTTTTTTGTTAGAAACAAGTAAAAAAATTATCTCAATCTATCATTTGGTAGAATGTCATCCTTCTCCCTTAATGCAATTGCTTGTTTAAGTTCTTTTAAGGGCCTTAGAATTTGATCAAGAGGAAAACTAGATAACTCTTTAAAGAGGCAATATTTTGATTATCTTCTTAAGTGTAAATATCATAATTAAATTCACTAGATGATTAAATTCACTAGGTAATGTATGAAATAATTCTATTTGATAAATTAACTTATCTAGTTGAGCATCCTTAATCTCATTAGTAGATTCACAAGTAATGATTAGCTCTTCTCAAATTTTCTTTATAGTATTAAGCATTAAATTTATCAAGAAATTATTAAGTTATAAAGAATAATGCAAGGTGTTTCCTATTTTAGTATTTTGTTCATATAACTCAAGTTTAAATTTTATTCAATCCTCAAAAGAAATTTTCTATCTTAATGCTACTAGCTTAAATAATTGATGTGAAAGTATGTGTCACATATGAGAATATAAACTTCACAAAAATTTTGATATTTCCGTTCTTCCATTAATCAAAATATATTTGAGATTTGGGTTTCATTTGGAACACCTTTTTTATTGCTTATTAAAGCAGTTTTCTAATACAAAAATTAAAATTTTTTGCACTATTTAAGAAATAATAAAAAAACTATCCCAAATGAAGCCTTAGATATCAAATGTGAGTGGAAATGACACTCAAGAGAAGGGTGAATTATGTTTTTTTGATAAATATATTTATTTTAAAAACTTAAATGCAATGATAATAACAAAATATTTATCACAACACAAAGTTTGTGGGTAAATAATTAGAAATGTGAAATGCAATACATAAAATAATGAGAAACAACACTGCAAATAGTATTATGTGGTTTGGCCTCTAACCTAGCAAATTTCCATGCTTTGGCACCACCAATTTTAGAATTTTACTACCTCAAAACTTACCACTCTAAGTCTGAATTCTCCTTCATATCTAAGAGAAATCAGATGCAAAACGTTGTTCAGAGACCAACTAGAATGCACCACGTCAATGGTACCAAGCGGTGCCGAGCAGTGGTACCGAGCACACGTGGCACATTCTGATTGGTCTCCGAACGGCGTTCGACATCCGCACATAATAATTTTTCCATATCTAGTGTGGGTGTAGAAACTATCGCTTTTTAAAATTTTTTTTCTAGTATTAAATTTTCCTAATTAAAAAAAAAATTGCACTAAAATTTATTTTAATAATGAATAAGAAAGCTATTCCAAATGAAACCTAAATTACTACAATTTGAGCATGTTTCACAAATTCTTTCTAGACTTCGAAAAAAAAATATTTGAAAATGCAAACTTTGGGCTTGAAAGTCATATATAAATCCAATTATGTAAACAATCAAAATCTTATTTACGAAAATATTTAACTGTCAGAAAAGTTGCTCAAGAGATTTGAAAAGATTATGGAGGTTTAGAAGACCTCAACTAGCCGTTGGAGAAAAGACCGCAGCAGAATAATGCAAGGTGGTTGCAAAATTTTAAGTATGCTCCATGTATTTCTCCCTTATGTACAGTGAAGGATTCACTTTTTCTTGAGCTATTTAGCCTAAAAATACTTTTTTATATATATAAGAATAATTAAAATTAAGTTTATCTAACCTGAGGCCTTTGGATTAACAGTAACAACAACAATCTTTATTTCACTATGTGGGGTCAACATCATGAATCCTTTTTCTCCATCAGTTATATTAAGAGTCAAATTCTCATTTAAGGATTCATTTAATTTGTGAATTATAAATGACATATGTTGATTTAATTTTATTTTCAAAATTTTAAAATTCATTAAGTGATCTTCGATGAAAATTTAATTATGCATGAACATACATCAAACCCTTATAATTAGTGAGGCATAAGAGACCCTTAAATGTTTTGCATTTGAATTTGAATGTAATCAGAGGTAATTAAGGGTACTACTTATATATTTAATCTATGGATTCAACCCTAAGTTACTTGATCAAATATTTTTGAACCTCATTCTCCTTAATTTCCTAAATCCAAATAGATTTTATTTGTCCAAATTAGATTTAAAAAAATTAAATAGGAATTTAAGAAATTTAGGCTATTTTTTAAATTAAATTGATACCCTAAACAAATTTTATTAAAGTGATGCTACTATGACATATGCTTTGCATGTGGCAGCCTTTGGTCACTTTTTTAACAATGGTTCCCATGATCCACGTGTGATTGATCCTAATTATCCCATCTTAGATGAAATAACCTATATCAATCCCCTGGATAACAAAGGAGATTTATAGGTTTTGATATGAATAGATCAAAGCCATCTATTCTTTTTAAATAGATTGGATGGTGATTTTGTCATCGCCTACCTTTATACAATAGAATCCATTAACATGTTTTGCCTCAAATATAGAAGTTCTGAGGGAATTTTTTGTCAAAAAGATTGAAAAGGATCAGGATAGCTAAACCTTTCAATCTAATGGTCTGATTCAACCAATTTTCACACTTTTCAAATTGTGTGAAACCATATTTCATATTAGGGAAAAATTTTGCATAACTTGATTCAACCGCTTTGATAATGAGTTATATATCCCTAAAGCTTCTCATGATTGAGAAGAACAACTTACTAAAGATAGCTTTAACTTAGGATTGCTGGATTAAAAAAAGGTGATTTCACCAAGTGGAGATCTTAGAGTTAGGACCAAAATTAAAGATGAGGATTGACTTGAGATAAAATATAAAACTTTGGTGATGGAGAAGAGATCAAGTTGTGAAACTAATTTCCATCGAAGAGAGATGTATTTATAGGTCGATGCATGAGCTCCACCTACTCATCCTAGTGGCATCTTTGTAAATTAAAGGTTGATGGCATTAAGGGAAATCCAATAGAGTGTTGCCATGTGTCCCAATACATTTTAAGGCATTTGGACAACTAGCTTTTTTGTTAAGCTGAACTGACCTTACCACCTTGCTCATATATGGAAATCAGCCACCTTAGGTGACTGCAGATGGTAAAGAATCACTCGAGAGTGTTGGAAACAACTAAACAAGGTAGGGCAATGGGTGCACCTAACTTTTGAGGTTTATTTGTGCATAGGATTAGGTTCACATAGGTTCATTCCTTAGGTTAGGGTTAAGCTAGCTTTGAAAGATAAATTAAGGTCTTAACAAGTTATATGCAAAGTTTGATAAAGTTGTGGCTTGAATTGATTGGGTTTTAAATTAAAAAAACTCATAGTAGGTTAATTGGTCCATTTGGTCAAATTAGGTTTGACCATAATCAAGGAAGCTTGGCCATCTATCAATCATAAATCCAACATATCTTAAAATAGGTTCAGACCATTTGGATTCAATGCCAAGGTCATTGGATTTGAACTAGTGAATAAGATTTAGAATTATATAAAGGGATAGTTTTGGCTAAACTTACCTTAACCAAGGATCAAACAAGTTAACCAGATGTCCTTGGCCCATGGGATGGTTGGGATCTGAAAATAACATGAAGGTTCCAAGGGTAGACCCTAATGTCATGGACCATCTAGGATAGGTGTCATAGAACTTAAGGTATATTAATCTTTTTAGATTTTTTAAGATTTTAAATTTGATTTAAGATTGACATGAAGTTGACTTAATAGAGTTCACTACCTATCTAGGGGTCATAGGAAGTGCCCTAAAGTTCTTAGGCATCATCTAAATAAATCTAGGGTTAACTACAACATGGATGGTCCAATTAAACCCAAAGACCTACCTAGGGGTTCCATTAGATTTTTATTTTTAAATGGCCTCAACCTAGGTTTAGGATACTTTTAATAAACTTGGGAAGGTCTTGGGTGGACCTATAAGGTTCCTAGGCATCACCTAAGCCAAGTTAGGGTTAACATAGCTTATGGGTCACAAGGGTAGGTCCAACATAGGGTATTTAAGACCTTAAGGTTTTGAGTTTTTTAATAGCTAGTTAATATTAAGTAAAGAAGAATCCATCTATGAGGAACCTATAAAGAAAGACCTATAGTAAGGAAAGAATCCTATGTACTAAGGCTAAGCACCTAAAATTTTTTTCTACCTTATTTAAAAAATAAGGTCAACATCATAGTGGGGTGACAATGGTTAAGATGTCATAATCTAGTGACAGTGATTCAAAGATCATAGTCAAGTGACAATGATCAGGAAATCATAATAGGGTGTTGGTGGTTAGAGGGTCATAGTCAAGAGATCGAGGTTGGAGGCTCGAAGTCAGTTAATAGTTGTCTGAGGATCTTAGTCGGGTTATAGTGGTTGAAGAGTTGTAATCATGGAATAATGGTTGAAGTGTCATAATTAGGTGGTGGTGTTCGAAGAATTGTGGTTGGATGATGGTAGTTTGAATAATATATTAGGTGATGATGATCGAAGAACTATAGTCGTGCAACAATGGTTGGAGGACAATAGTAGGATAATGGTGGTAGGATGATTGTAGTTAAACGATGGTGGTCAATGGACTGTAGTGAAGCATTAATGGTCAAAGAATTATAGTTGAACTAACATGGCTAAATGAATATAGTCAAGTATGGAGGTTGGAGAGTCATATTTGACAATTAGGGTTTACAAATTATGTTGGATGATGGTTGTTGGAGGATTGTAATCATTGGTCAAAGGGCAACTAACCAAAGTTCACGGTCAAGTGGCTCTAAATACCATAGCTGAGCAAAAGTCTAACTATAATGGTTGAACAAGGATGGTTAGAATATAATAGTCTAACAATGATGGTCTATTGGTGTAGTCCATCAGTGGGGTGGTGCTTAGATTACGATGGTCCGATGGCGTTGGTGTAATGTTTAATCTCTAATTTCAAGTCAAGGTTCAAGGTCAAGCTATATCTCAGTCCCTCGCTTCATATAGAGAGTGGGGTTTTATTTCTAGTCTTTAGAGTGGCACTCTCTCTTCACAAATATGGTTGAAATACGAAACAATCCATCTAACAACCCGCATTTGTGTCCTTGATCATAGACCCTTATTTCAACACTGTGCCTTAATCATATCAAAATTAAGAGATTTTAGGCTCATTAAATTTGTCCTATCGAGATATTCGATTTAACTATAATCATATAATATTTTGAGGTCATTTGTTAACCTAATTCAAAAGTTTCTAATTACATTTTAAATGCTTGATTTGTCCCATTTAAAGTCAAATCAAATCCCTTTTAATGTTGACAAATTCATTATACCAGGACATTCAATTTAACCATAACTTGTTAAATCAAAATTAAGATGATTCTTAATATAAATTTAAAATTTTGTCATTTACTATTATTTGAGATTTATATATGATTAAATAAAATTTTAGTATAAATGATTTTAATGTTAAAAAATAAATATAGATCAAATTTTTAAGGGAGCTAAACTTGTAAATTTAAATAAATTTTCGGAGTTAAAAATATTTTTATTTATTTTATCATTTAAAATTGAAATTTTTTTTTTATGTAGCTGAATAAAATTTTCTAAATTTCTAACATAATCAATTTATGTTCAGGCCTCAAAATATAATCGAAAGAGCTAACACTTTACATGCGCTCCGATTGTTCTTAGGGCATCTCCAACCGAAAACTTCATTTTTCACGGCAAAGTAACGCAAAACTCCAAAATCGCGCGGTGATGCTCCAATCGAACGTCATTTTAGGTGTTTTTGAGAAGGTAACGATCGCCCTCCCTTTCGCGCGTTTTTCCGGTTGAGAGCAAAAAATGGCGTGAGTGAACAGTGCACTATTCATCCGCGATCAAATGACGTAAAAAATGGCGATCCGTTGGAGCAAAACAAGAACGGCAAACAAGTGTTTGCCGTTCGGTTGGAGATGCCCTTATCACGGCATAATTGAGCTCGTCCACAGCTTTCATCATTAATTTGGCTTATTGCATCAATATGCATGTATTAAATCATTTCATAAATACCATTTTTAAATCACTTAATAAATTTATTAATAATATTAATAACAAAATAATAATAACTTTATAATAAAAAAAATTATATTTATAATCATCTCACAATATATATATTATCCTATAAAGATTTATTTGTCTCTATTTTTTTCATCTACAACAAACGATACGATCATTAACTAATGTAAAAAATAAAAATTGCAAATACCAAGCTCCAGAAATCATAAAACCAATGCCAAAATTCAGCTAAAACAGATTTCCAAATGTTTGAACCAAAACAAACTGTCCTAAAAGTTGGAAATCTCGACAAAACATGAAATCCCATCAAGCAGATGAACAGAAAGTTTTGCGCAAAAGTCCCCCTCTGCTCAGAAAAGCAAGGTAAAGAGACCTTCATTTTTTCCAAACAGTCTGGATGTAGAGTAATGTCCATTCTTCGGGACAGTATATACACAAATTGCCACTTCCAAGTACTTCCAAAGAAGCAACTGAGACAATTAGGGAAGAACAGAAGAAGGAAAAAAGAACCATAACAGAATCCATCTTCCCAGGATAAACTATTAAACTCAAGTTGCATCTCCCAAGAGAAGGATCCAAGTTAGATAAAAAGGGCAAAACAGTTCTGAGAAAAACCAAAAAAAATCACCAATACATCCAATGCATAAACTAACCTGTGAGATAGCTCAGGCCTGAAAGCAACTCAACCATCAGAATCTCTGCCATCAACATAAAGTCCACCATAAGCTCCAGATCTCACAGACTGCAAGGTTTACTTTTATGTAGCTAAAATCAGACCGTTATGGCATTTAGAGCAATCTGCAACTCACCCTCCAATGTCATAAGCACCGTTCACACGAACTGAAGCACCGCGCTGAGGCCTATAGAAATGACCAGCTCGCCTAGAGTGGTTGCGACCTTGCATGCCATATCTTGATCCAGATGAAACCCTGTGAGCTTCTGATGGTTCTTCAGAGGGACTGAAGTTCTCATGAAATATGTCACCATCTTTATTGTAACCGGTCTGGTACTCAAAATGCTGTTCAGCATTCCTCGTCAAGTGAGCTTTTTTACTGCCTCCATACATAGCATCTCCCCCTCTAGGAAAATGACCACGATTTTGTCCGCGTCGAGGCACACCAAGATAGTCTTGGTGAATGTTAGCGTTTGCAGAAGCTGATTCAGTAGGGGCGGTCAAATCAGAGTCTATGAACTGATTTTGATCTTTTGAAGGCTGGTACATTACCTTTCTTTCCTTGGCACCCTCCTGATTTTTCAGCTCATTTGGTATTGCCTTTATTTCTCTATAGGCCTCATGATGTTTCATGTCATCTACTTCAATCATGTTTCTCTGAACAACAGAACCACTGTCGTCAAGATTTTTCTCTATGGTTCGTGAAGGCATCATCTTCTCAGCAGCTTTCTGCCCTCCACTGCCTTTATAACCATGCACATACTGCTGGGAATGAACCTGAGATTTAGGTTGCCAATGAGACTTCACATGACCAGAAGAAGCATTCTGGCTTTCATTTCTTGAATGATTCCTCTCACCAGAGTCAGCTGGAGCTGCAGACTGCATTTCTTTTTTGTTAGGCACTTCACCCTGTAAGACTTTGCTATGAGGAGTACAGCTGCTTCCATCAACCCTGACTTCTTTAAATTGCTGTCTTCTCTGTCTGGTCATCCCGTGATCTTCAACAATGCCTATAGACTCACCCTGCAGATTATTACCACCTTCAACATGCACATCATCACCAGGCCTTGAATGGTGGAGCTCAGATGTCTTCTCAAGAAATTTAGAAGATCCAGAGGATAGACTACCTTCTAGTACACACTGTTCAAGTGATGGAGACTCGCCAGAATTTCTTTGACGCCATGACGGTTGTGTCTTGCCATGCCTGCTTTGCTTAGTATCTTCTGTATTCATAGAATTCAATGCAGGTTTTGCAACCGTAGAGCTAACATCTCTGCCAGTTACAGCACTTGCTGAAGCCAATTCACGCTTCCCCATCTTATCAGCAGAAGATGATGGAGCTATTGAGGGAGATGACTGCTGGGAGTCTTTTGCAATGGGTTTAGGAACATATCTCTCTATCTCTGCCCTTCTAGCTTTTGCGCCATTATGCATGTCTTGTGCATTCTTCCCATCTGGAAGATTTGTTACTTCATTTGCACTGCTCTTGTGAACTTCAGATGATCCATCCTTGCTTACCATCTTTACAGGCGCCCAGACCACAGTTTCGCTACCTTGATACTTCGCATTTGCTTTATCAGATTGCAAGTTCCTCGCTGAGTTCCTATGAGGTTGATGTTTCCAGTTGCTTGCCCTCTCGGTAGTTATTTTGGTTGGTTCAGGCCCAGCTTGATTAGGTTCAACCATTAAATCAATGGAATCCTGACCTCTCATGATTTCATTCGAATTATTTTCTGCAACTGACAGAGGTTCCAACAATTTGGGTGAGTGCTTGATTTCATCACTATCCACATCAAATTTTCCCGAGTAGCCTTCAAGATGCGTTGAGTTTAATTGAGTATCACTCAACTTATTCTTATACTTGGGACCACGATTATTCTTACTAACCTGAACAGGGGGATCACTGCTTTGAATTTCAAGACCGTCTGATGCCTCTTCAATGACCATGGAAGCACATTTTGTGTTCCCACTACTCTCAGAATTGGTAAACTTCTCAGACTGGTTACGCTCATCTGTAAAATTTCGTCTTCTTCTGTTCCATGCTTGTTTACGTTTTGAAACGATACTGTCCTGCAAATCTGAGGCAGATCTTGCTGTAATAATTTCTGGAGTACCCTCTTGACACAATTGCCTTGACTGCTCACCTATGGACACATGAGCTTTGACAGAGTCTGAAGTCCCAGTAGGCTGAGTAAATGATAAATAAGCTGGATCTCTGAGCTTAATAATGTTGCCGTCATTAGGATGCTTTTTCACTTGAGAATCACACAAAGAGCCACCATGGAGAGTTTGGCTAACAGCATTAGATTTCACATCCTTACCAGATGTAGTGTCAGGCTTAATTGGGTTGTCATTGCACAGTGGTTGATCATGTCTTGAATTATGCTTTGAATTTGCTGATACTCGCTTGTTCAATTCAGATAATTTAACCAGAGCTTTTGCCTTCTGCTCAGCTGTTCGCTCCTCCTCTTCCTTCTGGAGTTCTATGGCACGCTGCATTGCCGGTTCTTTTAGCTTAGAATGCTGCTGCAAACAAAAAGAAAGTAATAAGCATTGGATCTGAGCAATTACACAAAAGTGCACAATAAATCATTTGGCAGAACATCGCATACTAGCAGTATGATATGTTTCAAATTGACATCAGGATTTTCAACATGAAATTAGTGGCTGGCATTTCCTCATATCTTCCAAATATATCAGAGAAACTACATTTCCAAAAACAAAATGCAGAAGATAACACGTAACAAAAGAGCATTCTAATTGACAGATAAAGCCGTCGAAAATTTTCAAAACTTCAGTAAATGTTTCGAATAGCAACTTTCCAAATAAAGCAAGATGTACCTAGTGCAAGGAGTTCACAGAAATCCAAGATCTTGGGGTGAGTTGATGAATGCACAAAGAGATTGTCTCTATGACTCAAAACTTAATTACACTGGAAGCAACTTAACCATTGCTCCACACCACCCTAAAAAATAACAATTTTCTAAATCCCTCAGCCTGCTTAACAAATCTCAAGGAAGATGTATTCCCAAAGCAGCAATGCATAGAAAGAGCCAAAGCAAAAAAGCAATCCACATATTGCAACTACACATTTCAATAAAAAGTATACAAAAAAGCAACTATTCTACAAAGAACTAGTGAAAATAATGGATCAATATTGTATAATCATTAAATTAAATATTCCTTCAAATAGCAGCACTAGATAACTGACAAATAAAAAACCTACACGATTCTTGAAACTAGACCTTAAACAACTATCTCGCAAATTAATTACAGTTTTTGTATTTATGAGGAAGTATTTATTTAGAAAACATGCCTAAATATTAAGCACTTCAAACGAACAGTATTATAAAGTTAAACATCCCAAACAATAAAACTAAAGTCTCTGTAACCAGGCACCCACCAATAACAAAGGAAATAAAAGTTATATGTTCCTATATATACATTCCAAAAAGTACTTAAATAAATGTAAATAAAAATAATTCATATATAAACTAAACTCAATTTTATATCATCCATCGTGAACTTCTACCAGAATGTAAAATATTCCATCATAATCTTTAAACCAACAACTTCCACAGAAATTATATCCCAGAAAAGTAAGTTTAAGACTAAATTCAAGATATAGCAGGGTTCAAACCTGGACATCAAGATCAACAGATTTCAAAGAGGATGGATCACTGACAGAATTGAAACTAAGATGAGAACCCTGGTCCTCAGGAACCACTTGAGATGCATGTGAATGAGGTATAGATAACAAATATCCACTTTTACCAGTTGCCACTCTAGTTTTCTCAAAAGAATCCCTTTCAAGAGTATTATTCGTATCATTGGCACCATAACTACCAAATTTCAATTTTCCGTGCTGATCAACCCTCCCTTTTGTGTTACGGACTCTCTTCTGGTTATGAGACTGTGACTGCCCACAATCTTCTGAATAGTTTGACTTACCAGGCTCAATGACCAGTTCATCCCATTGATGAGTAGGTTTCAGCTCAAGAACTGACTCATGTATTATAACTTTTGTAGGTGTGTTCAACTTGCTTGCACCTACATTTCTAGAATTGTCAGCAGAGCTAGAATTTGCTGGACCAACCTCCTCAAAATGACCTTCATCACTGCTTGAATTTTGATTACTTCTCATCTCCTTTGTAGGAAAATTTTCGCCCTCAAGGTGGACATCCACAACCCGTGTTTTACTATTCAAGCCTTCAACCTTTTCCATGAGACTGGCATTCTTTTTAACAATGGCATTCTGTTGATCACTACTGTGGACAGCTGCATTATCTAGCTTCTTCTTTACATTTTGACCAGCATACTTGGAAGTTCCAGAAGAGTTTTTATTATTCTGATCTACCAAATCATTAGGATGTTGAGAATGGGAAACCTCATCGTGCCATTCTTCAGTAGTTTGTTCTTGTTTGTAGCCATTGTCTAGCAAGCCTGGCTCTGTTGTTGAGAAACCAGGTTGCTTTCCCCTCTGAGCAGCAGACCAAACTGTTACAGTGTGCTCCTTCCCAAATATATCTTTCTCTTCTGGACTTCCATGATGTTTTAGTAGAACCTTATATTGTCCTTGAGTTCCATTTGCTTGGCTAGAGATCATCTGTTGCTTGGTCATCACTGGACCAGATCCATCAGGCTGTGCATGAAACCTCCAAGGTTGATATCTCAGATTTTCAGAAAGATGTTGGTTATGAACACCATACTGCCCTGGCATTCCCAAAGTGGAACCATCTTGCTCAGAGGAATTGTCAAAGCTCGACTGAGTGGGTCCATAGCATCCTTCATAAAGAACTGGGCCAGGATATACTCCAGGCCTTATAGGGTTCCCTGACTGTCCGTGTGCAATGTATGATTCTGGAGGCCTGTGCCTATAGGCTTCACCTTTCTTAAGGTGGATTCCATCTGGAATAGCTTCTGCTCTTGGGAAAGCTTGAGTATTAGGTAGAGCCCCAGCTGGAACATAAGGATAATATGGATCAGCATGATAACTACCCGGAGGAGCAAATGGTGGTCTATAAAAACCACCAGCCTCGTGCCCTCCATACCAAACTACATTAGAATGGTGAGCAGGAGGACCATGCCAAGGCCCATATTGTCGAGCTGGCATACTTGCGTCTAATAGATGCTGTGGACTGTGATTTTCCCTATGCCAGTTCTCTGTTCTACTTGAAGATCCTTCTCCAGCATGTGGATGAGTATCTGCATTCCAGCTGTTAAAATTTCCATGCAGAGCCAGACCTGGATTTCCATTACCTAGTACTCAGGAGGAAAAAGAAAAAAAAAACAAATAATTTTATGGTCTACTGAAAGGAATGGCAACAAATTTTATGAGCAAAGTAATGTGGTAGGTTTGACATCATTGCAATGTTAACTCAGAACATAAAAACAGGCATACCACTGGTTAAAAGAGATTCGGTCGTTCCTTTCGAACTTGAAGATGCACCCAATGCAGGAGTGGGAGCTTTGGGGGTTTGACCTGATAATGGAAGGAAGTTATCGAATGAGACCAACAAGCATTAAGCTTTACTGAGCCAGAAAGGAACAAGAAATATGCAATATAACCCAATGCCACCAATATCCAATTAACTCGTTTTACTTGCAAATAATTAACTTAAAAACTCAAACATCAGTATCCTGAGCACAAGCGTTGCAATATCAGAAAAGCTTTGTTATCTTTAATCAACCAGACACATCACACGATCACAATTAAAAAAAACATATCAAGCAACCACAGAAACAAATAAAGTTACAAAGTTCATAAAAGCTTCGACTTTGAAAGCACTGAAAATTTGAGAGGTTAATTAAGCTTACAAACTTCTAGATTTAACTCACGAAAAAACCCACATGAAAGATAGACAGTCAAAACTAGCACGCCAGATCAAAACCAGGAAGAATTTCCTTCAAATTTATATGCATAATAATAGTTTTTCACCATCTAAGAATTTCTAATGTGCAGTTGAGATTTCTTCCTTCGAAAAAAAAAAGGGAAAATAACTGGTAGGTTTATCATGTTCATGTTCCTTCACAGGATCATAAAGCTTCTCTTTTAACTTCGAGGTGACAGCAAGCAAGGTAGTGGAAACGGCAATGACGGTGGTGGATACTTGTTTTGATATTTTTAAAAGGGAAGATAGTAGAGGGAATATAAGAGAGCATCCATTCTTTGATACAATAGATTGAGCATATTTAAAAATATCTTACCTGATTATTACTTTATCTTGTCATATTCATAATCTATTAATCCTAAACTATTGATTTTCTAAATTTATCTTCCATTGTTCTAGCTGTTCACATATTGCATTAGGCATACCACCAATTAGAACTATGTCATATATAAAAATTAAACACTAAGATACTTTAACAACTCACTTTAAATATCATTTTATAATCATCTTCATAATATATATATATATATATATATATATATCCTACAATTCCTAAGAAGTATTTGGTCATTCCAGAAATACTTTTCTACTAGTCAATGCTCAATGACATGTTTTAAAACAACATGCATTTAAGTCCCTCTCCATCCCATTCTAACTAGAAAGCACGAGCACAGATTGAGCAAGCAAGGAATCAGGTACCTCAGTACCTCCTGATGCACAATGGTCTCCTGCAACAACTATAACCTCAACAATACTCAAGCCATCCAATGAGGTCCCACAAACAGCTTCACTACTGGGCAATTTTGATAATTTGAAAAATCAAATGAGAATATATAAAAAAATTCAATGCGAAACTTTTGGAAAGGTTTTAATCTATGATGCACAGACACAAACACGGCGACACAGATATGATACAACAAGGACACGAGACACATCAATTATTGAAAATATACGATACGGACACGGGTTGGACACGGTATTATAATTTTTATATTTTAAAAATAGTATATAAAAATTGAATAAGTATAATATTAAAAATAATTTAGAAATAATAATTCATTTAAATAGAATTTATGCTTAAAATAATTAATATTAGGATGTCGAGAGTCGGGCATCAATGTGGTGCATCAGGCATTGAGAGAGGAGACAATAATGCTATCGTGAGTCAAACATCAATGTTATGCAGAAAGTATCAAGCATCGATGTCAATATGGTGTTTGTCGTTGATGTAATGATGTTGAGAGGGTGTTGGTCATCAATTTTAAGTCGACGTCAGACAAAGATGAATTGTCTAAGTTGTGGGTATATAAATTGCTAGCGTCGAGCATCAATATCAAGACAGTGTTAGACTTTGATGTTGAGATGATTTTGAAATGTCGTGTGAAACCAAAGTCGAGAAGCACCAAAGAGAAATGAAAATGAGAATATTAGATAAATGAGTTATTGAGTGCGGACGATTGATTTGTTGTTAAGGATAAAAAATAAGAAATTTATTTTTTATATTTTAAATAAATATAAAAATTTTAAATACAAGAAATTATATTTTTAAAAAAATCATAAAATATTTAAGACATGAGTATCTAATTTGTATTTAATTTTTTTTATCAGACACATTTTCAGCATATCTAGCACGTGTCAGAGGTGTGTCAGAGGTGTGTCAGATGCGTGTCGTGTCGGAAACTGCATGGCTATTTGAGGAGAAGTGCCGGTGCATCATAGGTTTTAATTACTGAGCAGCGAAATACAAGACCGATTAGCAGGATACCGATAAACTAGAACCTAATTGCAAGTTACGTGGTTGAATATTGAGGCATGTACAAGAAAAATTAGAAATAATATTTCCTATTCTTTTTTCAATGTTATGTTGAGAATGCTATTAGAACTTGATAAAAACATCACTTTGATGTGTAGAAAACACTAAAGCTTCATTTGGCACTGCTTTTGTATGTCTAACTATTCAAATATCAATTTTTTTCTTTATAAGGCAATTTGTTAGGAGAAACTGTAGTTTTAAGGAACACCTCTGTAACTTTGCGAACATGTGAATTGACCCGAAGGGCAACTTGTAATTCTATGATAAGAGCACAACAATTTTATTCCATAAAGCAAAGCAAGGCATTATGTAAGTATAACTATACCAATTAAAGCCTTTAACATCCTGATACTAGTGATGAAATTATAAAGCATAATAAATATCCTTTCTTATATATTATTACTAGTTTTCAAATTGAAACAAAATTTAACAGGCCAAAATTACCTGAATATGTCAAATGATTTTTAGATTCATAGTTTACAAATAAGCACAAGGAGGAATGGATCAATAATAAACATGCAAGTATAAAAATATCATTCAACTTGTTGGCAAAATGCAACTCTAACAACTCATCAGGAAACTATTAGTACTTTTTCCGCAACATAGATTTTGACATCTGACAATTTCATCCCCTAACTTCATCCGACTCAGCATTCCATGAAATGATGAACAAAGAACAATGAAGACTCAGTAGTGTAAAACAAAGTTAATATGTCTTAGCATCTTGAATGAGGAATAAAATAAAGACTGCCAAAAGGTCAGAGGCCAGAACTTAAACATAAAAACTAATAAAAACATTACTGATGAAGTGAAATACAATGGTCGTACTCCACAAAAAAACTAAAAAATATTAGTGAAGTGAAATACAATGGTCGCACTCCACATATCATTTTCAGGTTGGAAAGCTGATTAAAGGCACAAAACAGGACACTTGGATGCACAAGTTGTTATACCGAAATAGCAAATCAAATAAGAAGAGTAAACCACTTGCTTAAATCAGAATAGAACGATTTTACAGGAAAAGAAAGTGCATTGCCGCAGGCCAAAAAAAAAAAAGAAATAGATTCAAGTAATTACAGTAAGAACATAAATAAGCACCTTGTTGTGACTTTGGCTCATCACTCTTTTCTGATCCCAACGAAGGAAAATCTCCCGAGCTCAGAGTGAAGTCACTTCTTTTGGATACCTCAGCAGACTGAAACTTGAAAGATCAAAAGTGAAAAATATTCAGATGTAGGAAAATCATAATATATGCCTAGCATCTACAACCTATAATAATAATAAAAAACACAGGTAGATATTTAAAAAATACGGAAAACTAGCAAAAAAAACAAATCTAAATGGAAACAAGAGTGAAGTATTACTTTCTCCGAAGTTCCTGCTGCTCCCCATGCAATACCATCAGTTGAACTTTCTGCAAATCGCGATAAATGAGAGCTATTGGGTCTAGTCTCAGCACTTCGTGGACGATTTGCAGCTACTGACATATGGCTGGATGGAAGTATCCCTGATGCTGATGATGGGCGTGAACTTGAACCCCATGAACTAGAAACAGGCTCACTAGACCTCTCACTACTACCAGTTGATGGACGAGTACCACTTCCACCAGATGATGGACGACCATTAGCATGGATTGGTGAACCCATATTACCATCAGCCCGAGGAGATGACAAATTTGAGGAGCCCCATGCACTTGATGCAGCCAACAATGGCCGGGTGCCCCATGTAAGCGTACCCCTACCATAAGCACAAAAGTCAAGCCAGCCAAGAATTGAATTACATGCAACAAGTTTCTTAGAAATCACCAAAAAAATACAAGCACAAACAAGAAAGCGCATATAAAAAAGAAAACAATATAAAAAGTAAAATGACAAGAAGACACATACTTGGGAACAATTTCAACATTAGGATCCAGCCCATGATTTTCTAACCTTCACATAATAAGAAACAAAGATTCATGCATATTGAAATAAAAGAGCTAGAAATTTCACCATCATGTAATAGATGTCAAATAAAATGCTTACTTCTGACTAGGTAAGTTAATGGGTTTGGGAACTTTTCCCAACACTGTCATGCCAGATTTCCTTGTAGAAGTCCACCTACAAAAAGAAAAATTTCAGCTCATAGCAAAAGGAAAGTTCATAATGTAAATAGAATCATTAAAAAAAAAATGTTGGCAAAGTAACAAAGAGGATATGCCAGCCGATAAACTGTAAAATTACTAAAACCTAAACAAGAATGATGCAAAAGCAACAAATCTATAGCTTTCTAATAGTTAAAAAAAGTAGGTCCTTAAGTTGATAATATTCAGGATGTAGTAGTCCCAACTTTTGAACATGTATTTATCCACTGTACAAAAGAAACCAATTCTGAATGTTTTATCTGCGGACAGTTGATGAAAGAATACAATGCGATCAGTGTGAGTAGTACTTGAAATGGTCTGCTTTATCTTTACTAGAAAGGCTTTAGGTAGCATTATTTTGACAGAGACCATTTAAGGATAGATAATTGACAAACCATGTGAACACAAATAGCAAAAAATCCTCCAATCTAAGGAAATTAAATTTAGTATTCAGAACTCAGAAGACAATGAAAAACTCTAAAAAGAGTGTAAAAAATAAATCTTCACAAATATAAACAAAAACTTAGTACAACCCTCACAAATAAGGCTGTCAAAAAATGCTCATCGTTCATGTTCGGCTTGATAATTAGTTAAAATTTGATCAGCTTTTATAAGCTTGTATATTTAACGAGTCAAACACTAAAAAGGTCCAGTTGGATAGTGTTCAGCTCAATAATGGCTTAACTAATTTTATGTATACATAAAAGTATGCATATACATGACTATGCGCATGTATACTTACATGAGTTTAGTGTATATGCTTGTGCATACCTACAACGATTGCACACACACACATATGACAACATTTATATTCTTTAATCTATTTATGACTTCCAAGCATATTTTTATGACTTCCTACTTGAATTCTACTAATAAAATCTGAGACAAGAACAATGAATAAAAATTGCAAAAGACAAAATCTGACCTTCGTTCAGCCGGTAGCATACTTGAAGCCATGTGTTACTTGATTTCGGTGCAAAATCATCCAACTGCCAATAATATGAGCCTGAAAAAGAGGAAAAATGCTAAATAGACCCAATAATAAGTAAAAATGATTCAGTTTGCTCGAAAGATATTTGATATGATACACAATAAAAAAACCAGCAAAAAGGTGAGATATTAGAAAACTGTGGTCTATTGGGGTTTTTTTTTTCATTATAATAGGAATGTCAATCACCCCATATAGCGGGACAAGGCCTTGACGTTGTCATATAATAGGAATATCAATCCACTATATCAAAAGAATCAATAAATCTTCGATCAATTTTAACAGAAAAATAGATAAAAGTTGTAAAGATACCATAATAAGCATTGTTCAAAAGCGTGGCATCAGAACGGCAATGAAGCTTGCTCATCTGTTTAATGTGATAAACAATACGCTTACAAATAATGTGCTTTTTTAGGGTGATCTTTCTATTAGACATTTTCCATCTGGCCCATGCCCCATGTTTCTTTTCCAAGCAGATGGCAACAAGTTCAATTCTATCTGGGTATTCAATCCCGATAATAGAATGCTAAGTTAATTTGTGAGCCTTGATAGGAATGTAGCCTCTCCAAAACTTGTGCATAAGCTTAAAAAACCTTGGATGAATTAATATCAATGGGTGTCAGCCTCGGTACTCGAAAACACTATGTTTATCGCAAACAAAAGTGTAGTTATATCAATTGATATAGTACTGTGCATTTCAAGCTATAAAAAAATAGCTCAAGGTAGGGATGGAATTAGGAGACATCTTATGGGTTGTTTTCATCTATGTTTTGCAATCTTTTTTGTCCTTGGAATTCAAATAAAAGTGATAAGTAAAGCTTTGTGTGTAGTAATATTGTACAAATTCTTTGGATAAAGCATCGAGCACCCAAACTAGCATACACTTCTGAAGTAATTCATGATGAAAGAAATGGGCTAAACCCAATTTCATACCGACTCATTATATATAGATAGGGGAGGATAAAAAGGGTAAAGATGGGAAGATTGTAAGGTTTCATAATTCCAGAGAATTAATAGGGCAATAAGTTCTAAGACCTTTATAGTTTTTAAGTTGACTGAAAAAATCATAGAATTTAATATTGTTGGAAGAAACGCACTAACAAGCTAAGGTCCTGTTTGGAATCATTTTTTAAAACATTTTAAAAATAATAAAATATGTTTTTTTTCTTCTTTTTTTTGTAAAAATAATTTGATTTTTTTAAAAATAATAAACATAAGCTTGAGATGTTTGTAATATTTTAAAATATTATTTCCTCAAAATTAACCCAACACACTAGATTCTCATCATCTTCCCCTTCAACAACTAGAACTCCATTTCCCTAATCGCTCCTTTATCAAACCCCACCTCTCGTGAAATTGGATCATCGTCGTCGCCCATCTCACTCCCCGCCCTTTGCTACCCTCCACCACTTGTCCGACATCAAGGACTAATAGCTTCTAGTCGCGGCCACCCCTCAAACTCTTATCAACTTATCCCTTGTCATCCTCTCCCGTAACTTCCAATCCCACCTCGACATCAACTACCTCCCTTATGATTCCCATGTTTGAAAGTATGTTTGCCTATTCATCAGCCAGCATGTCGCACGCTTGATCTACAATGTAAATTATCAAACTGATGTCCTAGAAGGTCCGCATCCCCACACAATGTTTAAAACATCTCTACATAAACCTATATTGTCTCCACTAGTCAACGGAATTGGATTTGCACATAATACCAAATCATGTTCATTTCTAATTTCCTTATTTATTTTCAAATATCGTAATCTACTGGCAACTAGCTATGTTCAAAATTGATTGCATGACCTTTGATGCAAATTATCCCATTTTTTTTGTTTCTCAAGATGAGTGGTGCAGGGCAATCAAGTCCAACATTTCTTCTCGATGCAAATCACCACCTTGTGTTCATATAGTTTTTAGCCATTTTTATGATGTTTTGTGTTATAAATGTAGAAAATAGACATATAATTACTTGTTAGTTTAAAGTATTGAGTCTCCTATATAAAATTTGTCTTAGGATTGCATAAATCAATTGAACGATTATAGAATTTTTGAAGAAAAACAAGATTTCTCCATCAAACCTTTCCTTGGGTATTGGGTAACCATCTGGATGATTTACCTACCCACTCATTATCCTCCTAACCAACAGGATAACTAGTGTCTGTCCTCCTCTTTGAGATCCCTATGTTCTTACTCTATTCTTTCTTTTTCTTTCATCTTTCAAGCATTAAGTGTTGTAAAGCTCTCCAAGTCCTCATGAAAGTTTTGACCAAGAAGAAAGTAAAAGATCAAGGAGTTTTACTTTCACATTGCATCAATAAGAGAGGAGTCTCACATCCTCTAGCAAGCTACAACAATAATTCCCACGCCTTGGTTCTGAAAGCTCAACGTGCCATGTGACAAGTCAATTTCTAAGCAACCAACTTATAAGGAGCTAAACTCAACCTCTCAAAATTTAGCAGTTGGCACTAATATTCACATTACTTGATTGGCTACTCTTCTCCAATATGGAAACAGGAGTAAAAAATATAGCGATTTCATTGCTGAGTTTTTTAAATCTACACCTGTTTGCAATTGGGCTAATTTTCTGTGGCATAAGGGCCATGTTTTGCAATATTCAGTGTTTGGTTGGCTGGCTTTGGTGGGAGGCCTTAAAATTGCTATGGAACTTAAACACCGAAGTATTTTTGTAGACTTAACCTGCTCTCTGTGTCATTCCTATAATGAGAGCTCTATGCATCTTTTTTTCGAATGTTCCTACTCTCACAGCATCATTACTTCCTTGATCCCTGCCTGTTCCTCGATTCTGCTTCGGCCTAATCTGATTCAATTATTTCATTGGGTTGATGTTAAGCCCAATACCTCTATGCAAACTAAAAGATTTTATTATCTTATTATATGTTGCACTATTTATCATGTGTGGAAGGAACGTAATGAGAGGAGATTTGCTCATTATGCTGCTAGCCATTCTACAATTTCTCTCAAGATCAAAAGAGCCGTCTCCTCTAGAGTTTACAAATGGAAAGATGGGCTTTCTTTGTAGGATCTGTTATAAACTGCTTACGTCAGGATTTCTGGATTCTCCGAATAAAGTCCGCGTGAATTATTGGCTATCCCTGTACGAATTTTGTTTTTTGGTGGGCAATAATGCTAGATTGCATTTGCTATCTCCCAGGATGGCGGTCTCATGCAACTTGACTCCTTCATGATGGCAAACCTCGCAACCGGGGGAGTTGTGCTCTATTCGGTGATTTCAATCTACTTTCCTGAGCCCTTTCGGTTTATTTACCGTTTTTTGGCTTCTTGCTTTTTATTTTGTTTCCTATGTATTTTGGCACGGTAAGGTGCTGCCCCATTTTTGATCTTTAGGGGGTATTTCTCCCTCTTTATACCTTTCTTTTTACACATGTAACTAGTTTTTCATTAATGGAATTGGGTTATGCCCTTAACTTTCCCAAAAAAAAACAGGAGTCCCGGTTTCGAAAACTATACTTTGGTCTTTAAACTCTTTGTTCTTGAATTAAGAAAAAGTTCGTTCCCTCCAAAAGATTTGATTCTGGCAAATAAAAGCGAGACATAAAACCACAACCAGTCTGAAAATCTGATGACAGAAACAACTTGTTAGGCCTCTTAAAGTGACAGGTTAAGTCTCAAATAGAAAAGACAGAATAAAATAGTATCTTTGACAGGTTAAGTCTCAAAAATAATATTAGTTCAATCCCACTATCCTCCAAAATGGATAGATCGGAATAAAAGATCGATTACCTGGATATTGACCCAATTTTTTCTTCAAAATAGTAGATCAGAAGAAAAGATCAAGGAGTACCCGACCCGATACACAAAAATCTTAAAAGCAGAAACAACTATATAAATGGCACCCATGGATATATATAAAATTATATAAAAAAAAGGATAACATACTGTATTGAAAAAGTTGAAGCATGTCGACCAGCATATGAAACCAACATCCAAATAAGGGAGGTAATCCATCTTTCGGTACCGGAGAATACTAACATTCTCACCCCTGACCAGCCTAAAACTAGGGCAACCAAGGATCTGCCGGTAGAAGAGGCCGCTAACGGGATATAATGACATCGATGTTTTGAGCCATTTCCAGGAAATAGGAAAGAACACGAGTAAGGAAGCTGACGAAAATCACCAATGTCCTCAGGTAAAGGAATATGAAACGTCAGATCGATGATATATCACCTTAACCCCAGGCTTACTCAATCGGAAGAAGCCCGCGTTACGTTCAATACAATAAAGTCGCCACCGTGAATCGATAAACCTAAAGGCTACACCTTCATCCTTAACGATAACACTAAACCCATAATTTCACTCCCTCCATAAATAAAGCTCGCCCCAGATCAACCAGCGTTCGATCTATCATCCAGCACTTGGACGGTGTTGGGTAAAGAACGGAGACACGATCGCGATCGGAAACAGGTCGAGAACCATTAAAAAAAAAAAGAAATGAATTCGGATCGAGATCGGAAACGAGGATGTCACCTGGAATAATGATGCAACGAAGCGCTACGCCCCAAACTGTACAATCCGTAGCCCAGAAAGCCAACGTTAACGAAGGCAAGAAGAGAGAAGGAGACGAAGAGAGAGAGAGAGAGAGAGAGAGAGAGAGAGAGAGAGAGAGAGAAAGAGAGAAGGGTTTGATGCAGAAATCTCTCCCGTGCCAAGAATGAAGCTTGAGAAAAGGCTCGATAGGAACGGCATGGCAGGTCATCTTGTTCAGTTACATTTTCATGCCAAATTCAGAAGCCGAATGCTAGACGGATCAGCCCAATGGACATTTAGGAAGCTATTGGGCTGTAAGTGGGCTTGGGTTCAAGTACGATTTTGTAAAATGTAAATTTTATATAAATGAAAATTTAAAAATTATTTAGTATGATAGGGGTTAAATTTTTTTTACTATTTATTTAGGATTTAATTATGATATATTATTAAATTAATTTAGTATATTTTAATTTTAATTATATTAATTAAATATGAAAATTTAAAAATTATTTAGTATGATAGGGGTTAAATTTTTTTTACTATTTATTTAGGATTTAATTATGATATATTATTAAATTAATTTAGTATATTTTAATTTTAATTATATTAATTAAATTATAATTAACATAAGATAATATCTTAATTATTAATTAATTATTAATTTACTAAAATAGATAAATAACAACTTATACTTAATCATACAAAATAGAATATAATTTTAATTAAGTTAAATTGGTTTTAATCAACTAAATTAATTAGTAAAGCTCATTTGAGTTTTTTAATTAATGTATCAATATATGATTTATTTGATTGAATATTAATAATTTTAATCAATAATGATTTAATCAACTTTAACTATACTAATTAAATTATAATTAACATAGAAAATTGGGCAACTATGTTCATAGCCCCTCCATACACTTCGCAGCATGTTCTCCTATAGTCATTACTGATTTCTTCATCTTTTCATTGATTTTATTTTTTTACAATAGAATAAGAATATTGTGATGATGTTGTTGACTTGGACAAAGTAGTTATCCAATTTTAGCAATTATGAGTAAGTTTTTTTTTTATATTTCAATAATATTATAGATATATTATCATATAGTTTAAATTGATTTTCAGTGAGAAAATTGAATATGTAATAATTCATATAGTTTAAATTGATTTTCAGTGAGAAAATTGAGATCATTTCGATAGACTTAGGCTTTGTTTGAGGCGTCTTTTTAACTACTTCTTAAAGCGGTTTTCTAGTACAAAAAAAAATTAATTTTTGTACTAGAAAATTATTTTAAGAAGCAGGAAGAAAGCCGTCCCAAATGAAGCCTTGGGAAGACTTTCTTATCGCTTCTTGAAGCAGCTTTTTAGTACAAAAATTTTAAAAAAAACTTTATTAAAAATCTGTTTTAAGAAGCAATAAGAAAGTCACCTCAAATGAAGTCTTAATCACGAAACAAATATATGATCTAAGAAATAATAAAAAATAATATATATAT